ACTGTGGCAAGTTCAGGTGGGGACACATGAGTTTCCAAACTATAGAGGGTGTGGGTCCAGGCATGGCAGTCAGGGAAGGAGGACTCTAGTTAGCCTAGGACTCTGTCATCAGCCTGCCGAGAGGGATGTCATTAGAGATTTGCCTTAGGAAACATGCTTGTATCTCTGTCGGTTTGATAGAATTGTCATAACAAAGTCCTGGAAGGGAATAGTTAGTGACTTAAACACAAAACTGTTTCATCACGCTTCTGCAGGCTGAAAGTCCAAAACTGGGGTGTTGGCGGGGCTGGTGTCCTTTGAGGTCTCTCTCTTTGACTTCCTGGCTTCACCACAGTTCAGCTTCTGAACCTGCCTGTCTGGATCTTAAAGACAAATCATATGGATTAGGGTCTAAGTCTAGCAATCATTTTCACTGTATTTCTCCTTGAGGACCGAAAGTCACAGTTTTGAGGTACTGGAGGTTAGGACTTCAACTTGTGAATTTGGGGCAGGGAATAGTTAGCTCACAACAGTCTCCAAGGAGAGCACTATCCGGTATGTTCACTACCCAGTGCCTTTAGTGTTTTCTGATTTGATCATCTGAAAAATGAGGCTACATTTTAGATGATTGTCTCTGTGTTTTGCCCAGATGGTCTCATTTCTCCCTTTCTTCCTGGTTTTTCTAAGACGTATTTGCTAATGTGCAACCCACCTAGTGCATGTATGTAGGTTTTCATATATACATACCTACATACATACATACTTACATACATACATGAATTGTTGTAAAAATCCTCTTTTGTGTCTACATTTCTTTTCTTCCTTTCTTCCTTCCTTCCTTTCTTTTTTTTTTTTTTGAGACAGTGTTTCTCTTTAGCTTTGGAGCATGTCCTAGAACTCAATCTGTAGACCAGGCTGGCCTCGAACTCACAGAGATCCGCCTGTCTCTGCCTCTTAAGTGCTGGAACCCTAAATGTGTGTGCCACCACCGCCACACCAGTTGTCTTACTGCGTGCTACGAATCTCCATGTACCTGTCCATATCTTTATAGAATAAAGGGGATTATTAATGGTATGGTAGATAAGTAAACTCATATCCATCAACTATATTATGTTAGTAGAGAACATTTTGAGGGAAATCAAAAGCAGCTTATGCTAATAAGAAGTGGGCTTTTCTTTTCTTTCTTTCTTCTTTTTCTTTTTCTTCTTCTTCTTCTCCTCCTCCTCCTCCTCCTCCTCCTTCTTCTTCTTTGCAATGCATCACCTCAAATTGTTTTGGGAAAGAAACAGTATCTGCAGAAGCTATATAAATTGGGGACAAAAACAAGATTAGTCACAAAGTATTTTTAAAGCCAATAGTAGCTAGAGAAATCAATGCCCAAATTAGCACAAACTGGTTTAAAAAATAAGCATGCCCAAATTGATTTTCCCATATATCTGCCTTAGGCAGACAAAGTATGGGAGGAAGTGGACCGTTGCCAGACCTGAAACATTTTTCTGAGTTCAGTCAACGTCTATTAATGGGCAGTGACGCCATGCTGGCTCCCAGCCAGCCCTGGTGCACTTAGAGCTGTTTGGCTGGCTGGAAGCAGGCATTGCATCAGAAACAGGCAGAGAACTACAAGGAGTGTAAGAAATGTGTCTGGAGAGCTGACTTCCTGTGACAGATCACTCATGGCACCTGTGAGGTGGTCTCTTGTGTACAAGGCTGAACTGACCAACACTAAGGATGAGCAAACTCTAGCCTCCACTGAGCTGCCAAGTCACAGAGCCCGGGCATTATGAACAGCCAGGGTGGAAATTAACCCCGTGGCCTAGAAGCCATTAGTTTTGTCTCATTCAGTCAATGCAGTAGACTCACGAATGCATTCACAAAGATGCACTGGCTTTTTCTGAATTCTCTGCTTTACAGATTGTCCTTAATGACACTCAGTAGTTTGTCCTGGCATTGATTCCAAAATGGCATTTTAAAGAGAATCCAGAGAGTGCCCAAAGAGCTTGTTAGGGTGGCAAATATCCTGCTCCCAAGCTGCTGTGGACAGATGCTGTGACAGCCTTTCCCCATTTTAGAGCAAAGGAGAGAAGGTGGGGGGAGGGGGAGGAAGCATGGCGTGAACACGTGATCTGATAAAGGCTTTTCAGACTGGAAAAGCCTACAAAAACAGTGGCTAAAATGGGGCATTTTATTGCTAAGCCCATAAGGACTTTAAAATGAAGAATGAAATACCACTCTACTTGGCTGATGACGTGGGAAATCTGCTGTAATGGACTTAGTCAAACTTAATACCATTTTGGGTTCATTCATTGTCACAAATGCACCCTATTAATGTTAATAGTCAGTGGATAGAGTGTGAAGCAGAGAGAAACTGTCTGGGTGTGCAAAAGTCTGCATTATTTTCCCAAGAATTCTTTGAATCTATAGTTATTCCAAAATAGAAAGGTTACTCCTCATGTGTGTGTTATGTTCCAGTAAATGTACTCTGAAATAATCAGAGAGACAAAGGGGAAAATATTTCGAGGGTACTGGTAGAAGAAACAAGTTTGACCCAGACTTAATAATTATTGTTGGTTAATAGATACATGGATATATGCAGTGTGCTGTTCCTTCTACTTTCATACTGGTTTAAAAGTCTCCACAATGAGTCATTCAAAAAAGCTGAAAACTAAGAAGGTAAACACACACACACACACACACACACACACACACACTCCTGCTTCTGTTCCCTAGTTGCTTGGACAACTATCTATCTTCTTAGTTTTCAGCTAATATATAATACATACATACATAAATATATATCACATACACATAAACTTCATATATAAGCAGAAATTTTATATGCACATTAGCATAGATGTCCAATTCGTGTATACATATAACTCTAAAATGGTTTTACAAGAGACTTATCTATATAAGTAGTCGATAAGAACTCTAGTCCAGGCCACTTTTCAGTGTGTTAGTGTGCTTGCTCTGCAGCTGAACAGCAGTATTTCAGTCTACACTGCCGTATAGATTTCCCCATTCTGTAGAGTGAGTAGATTATATTGGCTTGTCAGCGTATGTGCTTTAGTAGTTTTCCTTCAGTGGGATGCATTGTTAGGTCAGGCTCCACATCTTCTGTTTGACAGCAGAGCTTAGTTTCTCCAGACAGAAATAGGAGAGAATGTTTTTCTCCATACAGTATTAAAGCAGATGGCTTAAATTTTGAGTTTGATCTGGGTAGAAGTTTTTAAGTCTGCTATATCATTAAACTGGGACTGATCAGGTCCCTGTGCCTTATCTGCCTCTCCCTGCCACTAGAACAGTTCTAAAATAGATAACCATTAGTCAGTGAGTACACAAAGCCCCTCTCCTCCTCTCTTCCTCTCCTCCTCTCCCCTCTCCTCCCTTCTCCTATCCTCCCCTCCCCTCCCCTTTCCTTCTTTTATTTTCAAGATAGGGTTTCTCAACACAGGGGTTCTCTGTATAACAGCCCTAGCTGTCCTGGAACTCACTCTGTAGATCAGGCTGGCCTCAAACTCACAGAGATCCACCTGCCTCTGCCTCTGCTTCCTGAGTGCTGGCATTAAAGGTGTGCACTACCACTGCCCGACCAGAAACCTTTTTCTAAGACTTCCCCCCTACTAAGTTAGTCTTCCTCCCTTTTAAGCAAGAGATATAGGCATATTAAGAAACATGGGTACCATTCACCCCTGGCATATCCTTTATCATTCATCCTTGGAACCCCATTTTGATTATCATCTAGGATCAAGTCAGTTGATAGTTCTGTTCAGTTGATAGTTCTGTTCTGTCTGTACCTCTCTGACCTTGTAGCTTGTTGAAGGTTCAAACCTGTATTTTCTAACAACAGGACTATTTATACTTAGCCTACCCTTGCAGTCTGTGTTGATACCACCACAAAGATGGGTGTATTAATCTGTTCATACTACTATAACAAAATAGACGAGGCCAGGTACTTCATAAATAATTGATATGAGTTGTTCTACAAGTTGAAAAGTCCAAGATGAAGGACATTCTCTGCTTCTAAATTGGTGCTTTGTAGCTGTGTCCCCTAGAGGGGCTAAATGCTGTGTACTTATCTGCAGGACTCATGGATACAGGAGATAGTCATGCCGCATACTTTCACCAAGTTCAACTGCTTATTGTTTCCAGAATGTACTGGGCTGTGCTGTATATCTTTGCCTTAGCTCTGAAGTTCCTTCATCTTAAGACTGTTCTGGTTCCACACACCCCACCCCACCCCCATCCTCTAAGTCAGTGGTTCTCAATATTCCAAATGCTGTGACCCTTTAATACAGTTCCTCATGCCATGGTGACCCCCCAACCATAAAACTATTTTTGTTGCTACTTAATTACTGTAATTTTGCTACTGTTATGAATCATAATGTAAATATCTGTCTGATATGCAACCCCGAGGGTCATGACTCACAGGTTGAGAACATTTGCTCTAAATCACTATCCGCATATCTTTCCAGATAGAGTCTAAACATCACCTCTTAAACATCACTGCTCAGATTAGGAGGCTAGTGTGTGCATAGGGTGGGGTGAGGGGGGAATCCCTCTGGCTGACTCTTCATTCGTGGAGAGTGCTAGGATACAAGGGAGGTGTCCAGGAGAATGAGTGCCCTCTCTCCAGTGTATAAAGGACACCACATGTGCTGGCTGCAGCACTCCTCCACAGACAGGAGTTTTTACCACTTTCTCCTCTACCCCCTCCCACACCTCATGTGCAAGGCAGCCATGGATGGAGCTTAACAGTTAAGTGGAAGAAGAAGAGGTGGAGACCCAAATCCCCGGGGCCGTTGAGAGCTACACTATCAATCGAATTTCTGCCTCAGAACTGTTAAGCCTAGCAGTAGGCACTTAAGAGACAACTACTGAATAAAGCAAAAGTGTAAACTCACAGTGGTTCAGAGAACTGTATTGTCAAAGATTATGTGTTGGGGAAGTCCTGTGGTCAAACTGTTGGCCAATAGGGAAGCAATATAGGTGGGACTAGGAGTCGAAGAGAATTCTGGGTAGGAGAAACACAGGAAGTCAAGAAGTAACCGTCATAGGGATAGAAGCCCGGAAACTTCTCCGGTAAGAGAAATACTTAGATTGGCAGTTATGGGGTAAATACTTAAGTCAGAGATAGCCAGTAAGAAACAAGCAAGGCCAACAGCTTCATAATTAATACAGCGTCTTGTGTGTTACTTGGGGACTACAACGCGGCAGAGCCCAGGAGACTGGCGGGGGTTAAACCAAAGCTGCTGGCAAGGAAAAGGTTTCTCTTTACAATTATAAGTAGTTTCGTTGGAGACAGTTTGTAAGCAAGCTGTGTGTCGGGACTTTCACATCTGATGAAGCAAGGTCTGGCTCAGCAAGTCAAGTCAGTGACTCTCCAGTTGAAGACCAATTGCTCTTGAGACCCTCTTTAAAGGCATCCTTGGGAAGAGGCACTGGCCTTTTGTAATTCTTCCAACCACCAGTCCCTCCTTGCTGGAGGAAATTGCACAGTCTGAAGACTTCACAGAGGGAGGCTGGCTGGAAACAAGTTGTGGTCTTGTCCTGGGTTTAGATTTCTGCTCGGGGAAGGGCACTTCCTCTCCTTCTTGGAGGGCCAAGTATCACATTCTGGATGGGGAGGATTGTGATAGAAAACGTGAGAGGCGGTGAAAATTCAAACTGGTGAACTGATGAAGCACCATCTTGGCTGCAGGAGGGGCTGGGGACTGCCTTTGCAATACAGTTTTCATCTGTGGGATGCAGTATTTGGAAGGCTTTGTTGATTTCTATGTAGTCTGTTATGTTTGGCAAGACCCTCTAGTTAGGGCTGCTTGAAAGTTGGATCACTTGTATGCTCTTTAGAAGGGAGTAGAATGCATAAAAGTTTCCAGGGTCTCCTTACCCATCCCAGCCCCACCCCCCTCAGTTCCCACTCCCTACCCTCAGCACCTACCCCAGCCCCCACCACCACCACTGCAGTTATCTCAGGCCAACCAGAAGCAGTGGCTGAGAAACTGGCAGACCACAGTTGAAGCAAGGAGGGGGCTTTGCCTGTTTTACTTCCATCACAGAACTCACCAGCCGGACTGTCTTATCCCTTTGAAGGAAGAAGAAAGTTCCTAGAAGAACACTGTACATTTCTGAAAAGCATCAGAGGGAGACAATAAAAGAAGATGAAGATCAAAGACAGATGTGGTCATGGATACCTACATCCCTGCACTGGGAAGAGCCAGGAGGATCTAGAATTCCAGTGTACATAGCAAGTTTGAGGTCAACCTGCACCACATAAGACCCTGTCTCAAACAGCTGTAAAAACAAAAGACTATTAAAGTCACATCTCTTCAAAAATTAGAAATGTGGCTTCTGTTTGAAACAATTTTCTTTTGTCCAACACTTACAGATTCCTTCCCCCAAAACAAACAAACAAACAAACAAACAAAAAACACATTTCTACATGCACAGTTTGGTTATTCTCGTTCCCATGTCTTAAGTTGGTGTTTTTTTTCAAGTACCAAATCCAGTAAATGTTATTTAAATGCAAAGAGGGGGAAAATCATTAAGTACTGCCAAAAAATCATTTCCCAGCCATCCAGCCAGCCAAACCACAAGCATCCAAAGATATGATTTCATTTTTAATCACATAATGAGGCAAAGAATATCAAGTAGAAACATAAAGAGGAAGAAAATTTTCATTTATTCTAAACCTCTGTCAGAAAGATACCCAATTTTGGGCTATTTGGTCAAGACAGATGACAAGATAGATGCTGATCAAGGATGGCATCCAAACCTGGTGCTGAAAGACAAGTGAGAGGATGATAGGAGTCAGGGATCGCTAGACTAGAGCATGACCTCTTCTTCTCCAAGCCTTTGAGTATCCGCGCTTCCTTTGTAAGGATTCAGGCATTATGCTGGCCTGCTCCTCCCCTCCAGCCCCCATGTCCTTAGGCAGAATGCACTCAGGCAGTACCCTGGTCAGCTCAGCGTTCCATGATTGCATAGTCTGCACGCAGGTGCAAAGGACCCCTTTAAAAGACAGACCCCACCCACTTACGCTCCCCCCACCCCTCTCCTGATCTCTCTTTCCCTCTTTCCTGCTGTACCCCTAGGACAGACGGGACTTTTCCTGTCCCCCCTCTTCTCTTCTGTCCTCTCTCTGTCTCTGTGTCTCCTTACCTCTTTTCTCTTTCCTTCCCCTCCCCTTCCCTTTCTAATATAAATTCTCATTTAAACCCTTTCTGCCTGGCATGTTTGTCCCTCTACCTCGGTCACCTTCGCCTGCCATGGAATCCACACAAGGTCGCCCATGAAAGGTTCCCCTTGCGCTTTATCGTAACATCCTTCATCTGCACGATGGATCCCTTAAACTTCAAGACCCTAAAGAAGGTTCGTGCCCCTAAGCATCAAGCCTTAGAATGTGCACATCAAGTGGAGAGGCCAGCTAGTTGCCCTACACGGGCGCGGCATGGCCTCGGTATTCCTAGATCTGGGAGGAAGAGCAAGGGAATCGGGAACTTCTGAACGGATGTCTTCCCCACTGAGTGTTCTTCACACATGCCCCAGTCTAGGAGGAGAGGCTTAAGGTTCCTTGCATATCCCACACTTGGATGTTGTTGGGTTCCAAAACCACCTGGGTCTCTCGCCCTTGTTTCATTTAAAATGTGAAGTATAACATAGTACACCTGTCCATTCCTTCCCGAGACTCGGGATTTTTAAAGCAAGATTGTCTCCGCTTTCCTGTCCCAAGCATGAAGGCTGGAGCATGGTTCTCCTCACTTATGTAAGTGCTTTCGTTTCTGTCTTTGTTGCTGTAATTGAGTATTAGCTAACCCTCACCACGCTTTAGTGTTAACAAGCAGAATGTATCATTATTCTTGTGTGGGGGTCAGAAGTGTGGGCTTGCCTTGACAGTCAGTGGAGTGAGTTCTCTTCTTCTACCTGTATATAAGTTCTAGGGATCAACTGGAGTGACCAGGCTTTCCTGTCAAGGACTTGTAGCTGCTGAGTCATCTCGTGAACCAGCAATTTTATAAACAGAGAAACCAGTTATACCTACACCAGTGTTTCTAAAACATTACTACAAACGCAGATAACGTGGAGAGCTTGTAAAGAACAGATTCTCATTTAGCGGGTCTGTGGAGGGGCCCAAGAGACTTCTAGCACATTCCTGGTCCAGTGCTCTTTGGTGTGCAAACAGTGGCTTGTACCAAGCAGAATATAATTTTGTCTCCAGAAACTCAAGTCAACTGATGGCACTGGGAAGCAAGGAGAGCCCCTTGCACTTGCTTCTTTTATTTATAAGCCATAGCCCAGGGAAAATAAGTTGGAGGCCTTGCTCAATGGCTGATGTGAGGTCTCTGTCATGTCACCATGGGCCTAGGTTTTTTTGTCTTTCTGCTTTGCTATCCTGAGTATGGTGTACAGTCCTAAGACATCCTCCTGTCCCATACAGTGGCTGCTATCTTTTCCATATTCTAGTCAGTGGCAAAGGAAGCACTGAGCCTAAACAGGTATTCAGCTGGGCTCTTCCCTTCTAAACATGCAGTCATGAGGTGCCCACCCAAGAATTTTCACTTAAATCTCATTGTCTAGAATATGTCATCTTTCTAAAGGGAGAACTGGAAATGCTGCCTTTCCAGTTGGCAACACAGAATTGAAGTTTACTGGGTAAATAGTAATGGCAGGAGGGAAGCCAGGTAGACTTTAGTACTCTGTGCTGTGAGTCACATGAGATCATTGTAAGTTCTCGATTAGTCAGCCATGACCTTGCCTTCTGAACCATGCCCCACTCCAACATGACAGCAGCTATACTGCCAAAGTGAGCAAGAGGCTGCTATCAGTGCAGTATGTCCGTATCACTGGCTTCCTCGAGTCCCCTCCTGACTGAAGCTCTTGGCTCTAAAACGTGATGATTCCGAGAACCAGTCCATCCTGCCTCATCGTGGCTGTTTTGAGTAACATGCTCAGTTTGTTCAGGTTTTATTTGTATCTTCGGGTTCTCAGATGCTAGGGGGCATTGTTACTGTCACACCAGCTAAGATCCTGGCTCAAAGAAACTGCGATAGCCTCCAAATTGTTGTCACTGAGGTTGTGGTATATAGATAAGGGACAGATTCCAAATGTCTTCCCTTCTTAGTGCCAATCAGCTCATCCTTGAGCAATAGGAGAATTAGCCGAGGTAAAGAATCCAACCAGCCCATTGATCTGAGCATGAACAATTGGATCTTTGCCCAGCACTTCCAGGGAACAGGAAGAGGCCAAGAAGCACTCCACACTCCTGTGAGGGAGGATTCTGGAGAGATTGAGATCACGGCCCTGCCCATGGCTCACAGGTGATGACGGAAATCTCAGGCAAGATGCTCCTTGGAGGCCACTCCCTGGATCATGAGTTCAGAGGTAGAGGATGTGCAGGTTGGAATCACCAGTTAAAAGTGAGGCCGTCTTTAGTCTCTTTTGTCTCTCATCTCAAGGTTTATTTTTTAATTGATTTATTTTATGCATATGGGTGTTTTGCCTGCAAATATATTATGTAGCACCCATGTGCCTGGTGCCCATGGAAGCCAGAAAAGGGTGTTGGATTCTCTGGAATTGGAGTTGAAGACAGGTGTGTGCCGCCATGTGGTTGCTGGGAATTGAACTCAGGTCCTCTGGAAAAGCAGCCAGTGCTCTTAACTGCTGAGCCACCTCTCTAGCCCTCACCCCAAGGAATTTATTCCTCCATATTTTCCATCTAAAGTCACAAAAGCAACATGTGGGCAGTGTAGTCAATGCTTCATTGTCACCAGTACTCACTATGAGGACTTCACTCCTTGAAAATAATTTATATACATTGACTCAACGTAGACTTTCCTTAAATTTGATGTGTATGTTGTTTTGCATGCATGTATGTTTGTATACCATATACATACCTAGTGCCTATGGAGGCCAGAGAGGGCATGAGATTCCCCCAGAACTGGAGCCACAGTGAAAGACCCCCACCACACTCATGTAAAATTCTAATGTAAATCACGCCCTTCCTAAGAGCACGAAATTCAAATGTAAACCACGCCCTTTCTAAAAGCGCGAAATTCAAAAGCTGTGACATCACCAAGACTAGTACCCTATCGGCGGTGCTCTCGCCTTCTACCTCATTTTGCATATCAAGCCTGCCGGACCTGATTGAGAGCTACTCTTGCAAGGTCCGCAGGACTTCATATGCAAATAAAGCCCGCTTCTATATAAGCTGTACTAAATCCAGCCCGGCATGCTCAGCCTCCCGAAGTGCTGCAGCATCCGCAGGCGCCTGTGTGAGCAATAAAGAACCCTCTTGCTGTTGCATCCAGTGGCTCTGCCTCGATTTTTGGGCGAGGGTCTCCTGCCGGGAAGATTCCCTTTGGGGGGGGTCTTTCAACAGAAGGTTATGTGTTGTCATGTGGGTGTTGATTGGGAGTGATGGGGTTTTGGGGTCCACGGGACAGGCAGAATATAGCTAAGTGGGAAATCCAAACAAAGGGACAGGGAGAAGGAAGAGAGTCAAGCGATGCCATGTAGCTGCCAGGGAGGCAAGCTGTCAGGGCATCACCGGTACGCTACAGTCACATGGTGATACACAGAGAGAGCGCTAGCCAGTAATAAGCCTAAGCCATTGGCCAAACAATTATAAATATATATTAAGTCTCTGAGTGGTTATAAGTGGCTGCAGGGACCCAGTGGGAGGAGAGACACTGATCTAATGGGACTGGGATAGATGGAGAAAAGTCTCCATTTACACAGAAACTCATCTTAGAAATTTACAAATGCCTCTACTTTTTGTTCCTTTTGCAGGTTCAAAAGTATCAGGGAGAATTGGATTTTTTTAAGGGTATGGCCCCTGGTAGGTCCACCATGCTCCAGTAGATGACTGTACATCTATGAGTACATGGGTAGCAAAAATTGAACTCGGTGAGTTATTGTGGAGGGGGTGAGCTAAAGGGAGAAGGAAGGAGGATGAAGTTTGAAGGAGGTTTGAGGCTGGATCTGGGAGTTGTGGGAAGGAATGAAGGTGAATATGATCATTGTATGCATCACTGAAATACTCAAAGCTTAATAAAAATACTATACTGACGAAAATTGAGGTTGGGAACAAAATCCGAGCAAGGCATGGGGAATGTATTGATTGAGTGTGGTCTAATGTGAACTGAGCACGTGTTTCCTTGTTGTTTTGTCAATGTGCTTAGGAAAAATGTGATGACGCATCAGTTCCGTGTTTTACCAAGAGGGTTTCCCCCCACGAAACATTTTATTCCTCAACTTAACTTTTCATGACAAAATGTTCTTTTGTTAAAATGGCTGTACCAAGACAACTTCATCAAAATGTCATGTGCCTAATTATTTGG